CCATTAATTTTTACAAATTTTTAGGCGTTTTATGTCTACCTGATATGCACCATTCTTGGAGTCTTAAACTGAAACAGATCTTCAGGCCATTGTAAGAATTTCCAACACCGTTTGATATGGTCCAAAATAAGAGTGGCAGTAGGCCTGGCTCCTTGGCCCTAAAACATTAGGGCTTGGGCCACAAAAGGGTTGGTCTAGGCTAGGCCAAGAGAGGCCCAACTTGTTTTGATGCCTGGTCCGATCTTTATTTCTTTAACTTGTTTTCTTTGTTTTTTTTTTAATTTTCCTTTACCCGGCGCAGCTCTCTTATGGCTAGGGTTGTGTAGGAGAGCAAGGCCCGGCCAGGGCCCAGGATGGTGTACATCGGACCGACCCGGCCCCGGCCCGGTGCCAGCGTAGGTCTACAAAACGCTGTTGTATCGTTGTGCGTTGCCCAAGCCGCACCGAGAGAAGACATACCCGAGGGAGCAAACGTAGAAATGATCCCGCGCGATCATCAAAACTGTTGGCATTATTTTTTCAGAATACTAGAGAGGGGCTCATAAAACCCTAAACCTTGAAAACATCTTATATAAACCATTGCTCACACGGCGTCCACACCATAACCCTTCTGTTTTGCAGCGTGAGCACTTTCGAAACCTTGATCCTAATTATGTTTCATGTGTGGCCATCTCCATGATCTAATCCAAAATCCTAATCTGAGTTTAATTTTCTGCAAAAAGCTATATCAGATACCGCTGGTTTTTCTATGGCGGTGAAGATTTTCAAAACCCTGACCTAATTTTTAGGTTTTCATGAGAAGCCATAACCATGAGCTGTTTTTAGGGTTTTCATGGCGGAGAGAAGGTTGCGCCGCGTGATGAAATTTGGAAATTATCTCACGACGGTCGTCTGAGACTTCAAAAAGTCTGAGCTGATCATTTCCTGTTTATCTGATGGCTATCTTTTCCTCTTCCTCTGTAAAATTTATCCCTTTTCTGGAAACTTTTCGATCTGCTTCCCTTTCTCTATTTTCACATTTTCAGATTTTTCTTTGCTTATTTTCTTTTGTGATTTATAACTTCATATATATTCATGAGATCTTTCCTCTTATTCCTGTTTTTCTCAAATATTTATGCATTTTAATCTTCTTCGTGGAGAGAAGTAATCGAGCATTGTGATGAAGATCTGAACATTTCTGATGTTTCCTGACTGATACAAAACCTCCTACTCATTCTGAATGCTCGTGTCACTTTTCTTCCTGTATTTTTCCTATTTAAGAAATTCTATATGGTTGTATTTTCCATTAATTTGTAGATTTTTTCCTTATCTACTTATTTTATTATGTTTTTGTTTAGCGATTAATGAGTTGCTTTCTTTTATAAATTGCACGATGAAGATTCAGTTTTGTTGACCATAAGAGATCTCAATGATCTATGAGGACTAAATTTAAATGGTCCTTTTCATCCTGAGTGCTTGGAAAATTTATTTATTTTATTGGTTTCCTAAAATTTTTTCTATTATTTTTTTATTGGTATTTTTGTTTTCAGAGATTATATTCTTGGTCAAAGTGAAAATTATGTGGGGTTCTTTTTTCTGCATTTTGAAAATAATCGTCATTTATTACTTTGCCATTAAATCATATTTTTATTGAAAAATTTTATATAAATACGAGGCTCTAAACATTACAACACACCTCCATAATTTCACTAATAATTAAGGGTACGTTTGGGTATAATAATTTCACTAATCACTAAGGGTACGTTTGGGTACGTGGGACATCTATTAGGTGACAATAGAACAGAATACATTAAGGGGTACGTGGAAATATAAATACATTAAGGGGTACGTGGAAATATAATTACATAAAGGGGCAAAATTTATTATTTAATTACATTAAGCGACAAGGGGTCGTTTGAGTGCGCGAAATCTATTACTTAATTACATTAAGGGGCAAAATCAATTATCTATTACTTAATTACGTTAAGGGGCAAGAGGCCGTTTGAGTACGGGGAAATCTATTACTTAATTACATTAAGGGGCAAAATCTATTATCTATTACTTAATTACATTAAGGGGCAAAATCTATTATCTATTACTTAATTACATGAAGGGCGAGGGGCTGTTGGAGCAATTACGTTAAGGGGCAAGAGGCCGTTTGAGTACGGGGAAATCTATTACTTAATTACATTAAGGGGCAAAATCTATTATCTATTACTTAATTACATGAAGGGCAAGGGGCTGTTTGAGCCAGGGGCCGTTTGAGTATGGGGAGATTTATTGCATGACAAGGGGTCGCAGGGGCCGTTTGAGTATGGGGAGATTTATTACATGACAAGGGGTCGCAGGGGCCGTTTGAGTATGGAGAAATTTATTACATGACAAGGGGTCGCAAGGGCCGTTTGAGTACGGGGAACATGACAAGGGGCCATTGAGTACGTGGAAAGGATAATTACATTAAGGGGCCGATTGGGTACTTGAAAATCTACATTAAATACATTAATGGATTATGGGACAATAATTTAATGGATTATGTGACAATAGAAAAATTACATTAAAGGGCTGAGAGATAGGAAAAAAAAGAACAAATTATACTATCTTTAAAAGGTTCACCAATTACTTGACTCTTGGCGTGTGATAATAGAATAATTATATTAAGGGGAGACCCAGTGAGGGGTGAAAAATCTATTATTATTGTTACAAAGGGGTCCAGTGAGAGGTAAAAAATAATTATGTGTTGCAAGATGCATTATTTTCGAGACTTAAAATTTTTTTTTTGTAATATTCATCGAGATGATCAATTAGAGGGTTTTTCATTGTTAAAACAACCTTCTTTGATAGATTTTTGTGGTGCATCCTTATTTCTATTTGTTTAGGGTTGCAACCTTGCATAAACTTTTTTCTATTTGTTTAGGGTTGGGCTTTCAATAGGAGAGTATGTAGGATGACAGCTAAATATAACAAAAGTAGACAAACTATTTTTAAAGTTCAATACACTTTGCATGATGCCATTCTTAGTTGTTCAGTACATGTTCTATATCTTCTATAATATTGTTTAATTCCCAACTTTTTCGAAATTTTTTTGTCCATTTTAACTGTTTGGAAGTAAAACCAAACCACTTCCAGCATATTACTAGGTAAAAATAACGTTTTTTAAAAGAGTGGCCTTTGTACAAGGTGACCACCTCATATGATACAGCTAAGGCTCACCTTTTAAATTTTGCCAAAATATGTACTTTGAACCGGCTTAAAAATTCATAGTCAATTTTAACTATAAAATTTAAAAATTTAAAAACAGTGCAATTGAGTAGATTTATAGGCACTTTAATTTTTTTAAATAAGACAATCCATATAGCATGATACGAGAAAAACAATTTTTAGGACTTGATTTTTCTTTATGATGTACATCTATTGATTTGAAGATTTTCGAGCTTTGTATACTCTTCTATACGCTTCGAGGGTATAAGGCGAAATTCTCTGTATAAATTTTTCATTTTAAAAATATAAGCTTACATATAAAATTGATTAAAACTTTATCAAGAACATTTTTATATACAATTTGAGGGATTCATCCATTGTTCACAAAATCGCCCCGTTTGCTAATCGCCGGCCGGTTCCGGTTTTCGGCGGTTAGGGTGATCAACCGGTATTTTAAAAAAAAATTCAAAAAAATATATAAATTCTCTAAAATAAGGATTTTGATTGTAATGCATTCTTAAATATTCTTTACATTATGGTAAAAATTAAAAATTGCTTTAGTCATTAATACTCACTTTTATATTTTCCCATCTTTTTTAGAAAATTTTTAAAATAGCGCTTGAAAAAATAAAATCCACTTTTTTCATTAATATTCAACTTAATTTGAATGTGTTTTATTTTAATCATTCTTTATATGTTTTTCATATTTCAGTAGATTTTTTTTGTATTTTTTTTTCAACACTTTTTTTAATGTCTAGGACTTGCTCGGTTAGAGCAGTTGAATCAACCAGTTTACCGGTTAGGCCGGTTAAATTGCTTACAGACCCATGTCCGGTTAACCGCTCCGGTTCGATTTTGTAAACACTGGATTCATCATCTACAGCCAAGCTGATCATAAATATGAAAAAACAAAAATTTTGAACTTTAAAATTGCTTATTTTTTGAGATGTTTTTTGTGCTTTTCATATTTGATATGACATCTTTTTACGTAAAGATGGATGTCGAAGAGTCCGCGGGGTCTTGCACTCGTGGATTCATCGAACACTTTTCTTTTTAATTTTGAAAATCAAACAATAATAGGAAAATATCTTATTATTTTTTATTTTTAACTTCTATATCTCCTCTGACCCAAGAATTGAAAATATTACTGACAAGCAAAATGACTCCATATTTTCTATCTTCTAACCCCTTAAACCCTTTTGACCATATATTAGTGACCTCAATAACTTATGAAATGATTCTATCTCTCTATCTAAAACTCCATATTTCTCTCACATCATCGTCTCTCACAAAACTCCATCTCCTTAAAACCCAAACTCCATCTTTCTCCCACATCCATCTCCTTAAAACCCAAACTCCATCTCTCTCCCACATCATCGTCTCTCTCTCTCAAAACTCCATCTCTCTATTTAAAACTACATCTCTCTTTCTAAAACTCCATCTATCTCTCACACATAAAAAGGTGTGCTCGTGTTCGAGCTCAAACTAAACCCCTTGGCTGGTAAACTCATCGAGAAGCGAAGAGAGAGATGAAATTTTAGAGAGAGAGAGAGAGAGATGGAGTTTGAATAGGATTCATTTTAGTATTTGTTTGGATTAAAAATTTATAATCAAAAGTGTCCAAAGGATTGTAAGATAGAAAAGATGAAGACCTTTTGGTTACAAGTAATATTTTCATGGGACTCATGAGATATGAAAGTTAAAAATAGGAGATAAAGAGATATTTTCCCAACAATAAATTGTTCATTATTAATTCTTTTTCTTGAGTGAATATTAATCATTAGAATTAATTTTATTGAAAGTGATAAGAAGTCCATACAAACAATACCAAAGAAAAAGGGCAAAACATGAGTGGAGTCATGCAAGTTCGAAAATTGGCTAGAACTCAATCACGTCCTCCAAGAATCGACTGAAACTCGTGACTTTTACTACAGTATCAGATGAAATTTGGTTGAATCAGCCAGTTCACGGTTCCTCCAGATCTGGGAACTCAATTAAGTGTAGATGGCTTGGCTAGGTCTGAACCCGAGGTGCCAGTTTTAATCGCCAGTTCCAAATAGAAAGTATCATCCCTGAGACAAATGATGAATTGAAAAGTGAGATGGTCCGCTTCTAACTAGGATCATGGTTTAGGCTTTGGAAGTTCAGTAATGGAGAAGTGTGACAATAATAGTGCTTGTAAAATGGATTGGATGGTTTAACTGGCCTTTTGGAAGTCTGGTCTTGAGTAGTGAATTGCCAATGGAGATTGGCAAATCGGATCGATTCTTGTGTGAGAATTGAATCAAAATTTAAAAACATATTTTTTAAAAATAACAGTAAAATATAACCTGTGGAACAGGTACAATTGGAGTTCTGACAAGGAAACAGGTCAATCTGGATTGATAATTCCTAATCTCAACCGCTGGGTTTTAAACACTGAATGAAAGGCCTGGGTTAGCATGGCCCTAGTCTCTTGGAGCTTAAACCGGCCTGGGTGTATAAAGCTAACCCCTTGACAAATTCCCATTTAGACATTGAATGAATGAATAATCACAAGTATTTAGTGAAACATTGCTAGACTGTTATTAATCATAGCTTTGTTGTATTTATTTTCCTACAAATTTTCAACAAATTACTACAGATAAGTTTTACACAAATTCCTATCTACACATTGAATTAATTACAGATATTTTACAATCTCTCTCTCACTGTGGTACAAGAACTTTGATGCTGTTCAAAATGTTGTTCTGTCCTGGTTGTGCTAGGTGATCAATCAAATTTTGAACAGGCCCCTTACCTGTAACAGCAGCCTGAAAATAAAACCCTAGCCAGGCCACCATGGCCAGGCGCCCATTTTTCATCTCTTTAACCTTCAACTCCTCGAATGAATCAGGGTCCTTAGAAAGCCCTAATGGATCAAATAGAACACCTCCTGGGTAGTTTATATCTCCAGGTAAAAAAATTCCAAGGGGCTCCAGTGCTTCTATTCCACAATATCTTGCGTACTCTGGACCAACCTGTTTAAATAGAAAATAAAAACCTTAAAGACTGTAGATACTAATTATGGTTCGAGTGCTATGAATTTTCCAACGATCAAAAGAAAAGGACCCATCTTTATGAATATATGTATTAGAAAACTAATCATAATTATTGTTCAAGGCTCTAAATTTCCACCTATTAGCAAAAAAAAAAAAAGTAGAAAATCTTAGGTTTTTAATAACTACCAAAACCGAAATCAAGATCATTTTTGATGAACTTTGATGTGATTCTTGGAGAACCATTATGAATGGACGAACCAAGCAAGATTTTATTACTAATTTAAATCCGTTGTTCAAACTCACAAATTAAATCTTAACTCTTAAGCATGGTATACAAAACTTGGCCAAGTCGACTTAATTTTGCCCTCAACATAACTCGGACATAATTGGGGGCCTTGAACATGTACATTGTTCAAACAAGTACCATACAAAGGCAGGGTATCAAATTGCTTGAGTTCTACAGTACTTGGGTGAGTCACTATATTACTCGCCCAGGTACCGTTAACAAAGAGGGGGTCAGTTACCACTCCCCCTCATACCCCTAATCTCTCTCTAAAAGGGGGGCAGAAATCCACCCCCTGTTGTCATCTCTCTCTAAAAAGGGGAGGGAAAAGGGCCCCCTCATTTTCCCTCTCTCCCTCTCTCCCTCTAGAAGGGGACTGGACATGCACCCCTACTTTCATCTCTCTGTGTTTCTCTCTATCCCTGTCTCTCCCTCAAATATATTTACTATTTTCCTTTTTCTCTTTTTCTCTTTTTCTCTTTTTTGAGGTTTTTATTTTTTATGTTTTGCTTTTTTTAAGGCATTGTCATGCCTATACACTACTAGTCCACTCGGTCGTGCCGTCACTCGGCTCGGGCAGATGCCGAATCCCAAGCCCAAGCCAAGTATTTAAACCTTGGTTACAACTAAGAAGATCAAAATCTATAAAGATTGGCATAAAAGACTCTAAGTTTTTCTCTTAAAAAAAAAAGAGACTGCTATACTTTTCCTAGGTTTTTTATGAATCTGAGCTTAAAAAAGAGAAGGGAACTTATCAGAAATATATCTTTATTTTCGCCTAGTTGGAAAGAAAATCTTCAACTTTCATAAACCTCATCCACACCCTTTTTTTGGTATTTTTTTGACCAAAATAACCTTCACAGTAGTTGTATTATTATGAAGCCCTAGCATTACGGTACTTTAAGTATTGTAATGATTACCCCATTTTATACGACATTTTAACGTGATAACTCGGAGTAGTTTAAATGCCAAAACTGAGGAAAATGGGTGTGCACGAGGTTTATGAAAGTTGAGGATTTTTTTTTTCTAATTTGTCAAAAATTAAGGTATATTTCTGAAATATTTAATTCTTGAATATGAATTTTGTGAACTTCTGCAAAACTTTTACTTCTAACTAAAAAGTAATTTACCATGAGAAGAACTTGGCATATTGCGATAATGGCAACTCCTTGGCCTCCAGCTATGTGAAATCCCGGTATGCCAAGATAGTCCAGAGTATCACCCTAATGAAACCAGATAAAAGACACGAACAAAATCAAGCTGTTGTCTGTGTGTGTGTGTGGTGAAACCAGGTAAAAGCCATAATCACATCAAGCAGTTGGATCTCCCCCCTCCCCCCCTTTCCTCTTCTCATACAGTAGATAATTTCTACAGCACAATGAAAGAACTAATAACTTATTTGCCAATAAGGCTAGGAAACTAACTAGTGTAGATGCTCATTTGCCAAGAAGACAAGGAGATCAAATAATTAAGATGTTTATTTGCCAAGAAGACTAGAAGATCAACTAATTTAGATGTTTTATTTGCCAAGAAACTAGAAGATTAATTAGTGCAGATGCTATATATTCCCATAAAAGAAAGAACTGGCAGAGAGAGAGAGAGAGAGAGAGATTACCTGAAGTTTGGCATAGCCAACTCGCCACCAAACTGGCTCTACAAAGCGCACGATGCCAAATTGATGGAGCAGCTCAGGAATCAGAACACCTAGAGATGCAAGCATAGCCCAGCGAGCATGTAGTATCTCGAAGCTGCACATAAGCGAATTGGAAAAAAGACATGAATCTGGTTTCTTAAGCCACTCATTTTTATATAGGAAAGTACACTATAAGACCGTTGACCTTTGGTACAAAAGTGCAAAATGACACCTAACCATCAGATATGAAACCGGACAGCTGCAACTGTACCTTTGCCATGCTTAAGTTAGATAATTTTCATCAGATCATGTGTGGAGAAATGCCGTACCCACCCATCCAATTTCACATATGACAACTTGGGTTGTTTGTGACCTTTGTGCATGAGAGAAAATGGTTTCATTGTATACAATCCCATTGTGTATACAAAATTTATGCAACAGCTAACCTGAATTCCTAAAACATCATATGGAAGGGTAATATTATGTATCACTTAACCTTATCTACAATAATTGGAATAAAGATATTGGAAATTAACTCATTGAAAGGTAATTTATTGAAGCAGGAATTAAGTGGCGCAAACTGATGCCATGAAGCTAGATGTTAAAGGCTAATTAACAAAACCCAATAATTAAGATCTCAATAAAAATAAGTACTTGAATTATACCTTAAATATAGTAATTCAATCACTAAAAACCATATTCCTCTATGACTATAGACACATGGGGTTCACCTCAAAAACAACGGGTAAAAATATTGCTCGATCCATCTAAATCATGACAAGCTAATCATGTTACATAGAATGACCATATTTCACCTAGATTTATAATTGGTCTCTCTCTACATATTGTGGAAGAGCAAGCCCTAAGGCTATCTGTGGCTTGGAGACATGGAAAGCTTTTTTACAGAAGCTACAAGTTCAGGAACATCCCATTTCTATAAGAATTCATCGAAGGTTATGGTCTCATAACCCTCAACACAATAGAAAATGTCCCGTCTGTTCAAATCTAATAGTTAACTTAAAATTTTGATATTCCAAGCCTGAACTGCACAGAAATGTCAATGGAAAGAAGGCATCATAGCTGCTATATTATGCAGATTCCTCGAGTGTTGTTATCATATAGGAAAATTAATTTAAGGTGACAAAAGAATGGATTTGTTTATATTCTTAGTGGCGCCTGTATAATCAGGCGGCCAAAGATTATAATGTGGCATTCTTGACATCTTTGGAGGATAACTCTCACGAACATTGTGCATACACATTGAAGGATTCTTTGATCCCATACTCCAGTTTATTTAAATCATCATGCTCAAACCTTAGGAAGATGATGAGATATAACTAATTGTAATTGCCATATGTTTACATGTTCACAAAACTGTAGCAGCAGTTGATTACACATTCAGAAAATAAGTGCTATTTCCTTGGTAAAGATTGGAAAGCTGATTCCATGGCACAGTTAATTCTAAGATATGCTCTATTCTATAGTGAAAGAGAAGTACTTCCTCAAAGATGAAGAGAAGAAGGAAACAGCTTTACATACGTGAAATATTTCTCGAAGTCCAGGGGATCTTTGCTCAAACCAGCAATATCAAAGCCATAATCACCGGGTAACTCTCCACTGAGGTAGGCAGGATAGTCATAAGGGACTGGACCAAGCCACCGTGGACGCTCCTTCCCATACCATGAGCTATAGTGCAATAGACCATCATGCCAAAAATATAAATCAGAAAACATGAGGTCTTCTACGAATGAGATGAAATGTTTAATAGGTCAATAACTAAATTTATCATAATGTACAAGTTTGGGGTAATAATGGCTTCCATCCAAAGGACATTTGCTTTATTTCAACTGAACTAATTGCAACATAATAATAATAGTTTCAAACAGGGTTGGGTTGTACAAATATTGAAAATATAAAATAAGAAAAAAGCAATAACCTATTGATGACTTTTCTATTACATACTTGCTTATGTAACTTGCAACATTTGCATGGTCAATCCAAGATATCTCAAGGATGAACAAGAAATATGCATAGGTTGCTCCTGTTAGACCCACATACCACACAAAGAATAGGTGCTATTGGGCAACCTAACATACAAACCAAAATTTCATCCATGGGTACAAAAAAGAGATAAAACAAGTTCCTTTTATTTTAAGGATTGTATACAATGAGATCATTTACCTTTTATACAAGGAGGCAACAATTACTTATAACCATCCGATGTGAAATCCAATAGCTTGGGTGTGTCACAAAATTCGAGAAAATTTCTTTTGAAGTTTGAGCTTGGTCAATGTAATAAATGCAGCCATCTAGATTCACATCATTTGGTCAAGACTAATTGTGACTACCTTGTACCAAAAATAAATAGTCTCATTGTATACTTTTCCATTAGTTTATTCGCAAGAAAAGCTACAGCCTACAAGAAACAAGTCAAAACTCAATCGTCAATCTTTCTAAATGAGGGTTATAATTGTTTCTTTTAGGCTTCCAACTATTTCTAAGAGCTGCTACATATGGTGGCCGAACTCATTTAATTGCAGTAGCTATCCAAATTGCATGGCTAAATTCTGCACCAAACAGTAATAAAGTGAATTCCCAACTGCCTTGAACAAATACAGGGAATAGTTTAGCAAACTATTTGAGAATTAAATCATGGCATGGGTTACACATTAGCTTGACATGTTTTCAAAGACTGATTTGAATCGGATAAAGTTGAAAGAACAACAAGAATAAACTACTTGCTTCACCATGCAATCAAGGTAAGCAAAGAAAAATGTAAACTTTCAAGTTTCAACAGCATGTCCATGAGACAATGTTGAAGGTTACAATTGTGGAAAAGTACGAGAAAATCTGAAACTGAAATGATATATAATAGATGTAGCACCCCCTAAAAGCTGTCATGCCCTCAAGTTTTGGTTGATGAGAAAATTTAGTCCAAGTTTCAGGTGAAGTAGTTTCTTTTTCTTTGGGCACAATTTCGACTAGTTTCCTATCTGATATTGGCCAATGGGAATGATAATCAAAGCCATCTCTCTTGAAATTCTTCAGATAAAATTTGCCTGATAAATCTCTTTCCATAACTCACATATCAATGGATGAAAAGAATTGGAATTTTCAAAAACATGATAAACTTTATGGGAAAGATATGGACTCCCCACATCTGATATACTGCCAATTATTTGACTGTTGTCAACTTTGAACAGTTTTTTCTTCTTTGGGCTATCCAATTTCACTGATTTTTTCAGATTTTGGCCTTAATTAACTGTTTACTGTTTTTGGCAGCATTAAACTTGGCCAAGTTACTCGGTCTTGGCCCCTTGCCAAGCTGAGTTTTCAGGTACACTAGGTTGGCATATAAAAATTCAAAATAATTATATTTGTATGTAAAATAATGTATAAATATTTTATGTACAATTTGGTGTTTTTGAAGATGATTTGTGAGTTTTTCTTGTCATATGCCCTATTTTTATATTTTTCCCTTTTTTTGGGATATTTCTAAACCGTTTCCAGCTATAAGTAAGTTATTTCTCAATCCTCTGTTTTTAAATATATAAGTAAGTTATTTCTCAATCCTCTGTTTTTAAATATATTTTTCATCTTATTTAGACTTCAATGTTGTTTATAGTTGACTTTCTTTTTACTTTTAAACATTTTTTTATCTTTTTTGTCTTTTAGCCCTTACACTAATGTCGGGCCACTCAGACACGCCCGACCAACTCGGCGGGCACAGCCAGATTCCCAAGTTCGAACTGAGTTTTCGAACCTTGTTTTTGGGGTTTTTTTTACAGGACCTTGACCTCTACAAGCTTACATCCGTAAATAATTAAACTAGTCCCAGTAGTTCTGTTCCTCTAAGTTGGTCAAAGGACACGGCATTGATTATTATGAACTAGTCAATATTTAAACAAACATTTACCAAATGCGAAGAATCTACTTCACATATATACAAAACCAAACACTAATCACAAAATTGGCCTTTTAGACACAGTATACCCTTTAAGAAAACTGAGATGTGGGGTTTTAGTTGACAGTGAGTACACATGCATAGAGAGGTTTCAAGAATAAATGTTAATGTGGGGTTTTAGTTGACAGTGAGCACACATGCATAGAGAGGTTTCAAGAATAAATGTTAATACGAAGTGTCTAGGTTTCTAAAGTAGAAGATAAGAGTGTCGCAACCATGGTTTGTCACCAATCACATAAACTAGAGGATAAGAGTGTCGCAACCATGGTTTATCACCAATCACATAAACTAGAGGATAAGAGTGTCGCAACCATGGTTTGTCACCAACCACACAAACCATGGCCATGGGTGTCCATGTTACATAAGAGATAATATATTCATGCAATGTTGATCAAAATGCAGTAAAATTTGGAAGAAAAAGTGCAACTTCAGAGAGGAAATAATTATGAGCTGGTTTTTTCCACTAACTACTTAAAAGCTAAAAAAATGGTGAAAATACATGGTTTTATGAACAAGGCTAAAATTCCAGATATCAATTGTTCACAAGTACCTCTTTTCTCTGGCTTTTTTTGCTAGGGTCTTTGCCTCTGAGGATCTAGCCAGAGATTCCTTTTTGGTAGCCCGCATTCTCTCTTGAAGCTGAGCTCCAATGGAGCTATTAGCAATGGCCTTAACGGCCGTAAAAGGAATTGCAGAGAAAACCAGAAGCCCTGCAATCTACATAAATTTCTTGATAAATAACCGAAAATGGAGGACAAAACCGCTCAAAATCTTGATAGGGAAAGCAATCCAAAAAAAATTCCTGATAAATATCTAAAGATTGAGCCAAGAAAACCGCCATTAAAGCTGAGAAGAAGTTGCAGACCTCTTGCCATGAAGCTTTGCAGGGAGAAACCGCGTGCTTGAGTTTAGTAGGTCGAATTTTTTGGGTTATTCTGAGGCAATTTAAAGGGAGACTGGTGAAGGAGCTCTGGTTCAGGGAATTAAGGTTCGGCACTGGAACCAGTGCCATGGCCGTGGCGACGATAATGCAGATTTTCGTCGGATTCGTTTTCGCGAAGTTTTATAGCGAAGTTTCGGTGGTCCTTAATTTTCAAGCGGATCGCGGAACAGCCGCGAACTGGCCTTTTGACGTTTAACTTTAGGCATGGATGCCATGCTACTGTGGGGACGTATAGTGTACACCTATTCCCTTGGGCAGAATGCTTGGGAACCACTTTAAAATTAAAGAAATGATTTTACTTGACCGTCTTTCATTTGCGCGCGAAGGACCTCAAAGGATCAGCATTAAATTTAGTACGGATCTATAAAGGGTCAAGTTCTACAATCATTCTTGCCTCTTAGATTTAAAAATAGATAGTTGTGAGAGTATCATTGATTAGATAAAAAGTTTTAAAAAAAAATTTCTCGGACTTCATAAATCACCCCAAAATAGATAGTTGTGAGAGTATCATTGATAAATAAAAAGTTTTTAATTTTTTTTTTTCGGACTTCATAAATCACCCCAAGCCATCCAATTTGACATCTAATGAGTGTGAATAATTGTGACCTCATTGTCTAAAGAGTAAATGGTATCTTTGTAGACAATCCCTTATATTTAAAGAGAAAGTATTTAATGAAACCATTGCCGTTTGGTATAATGTAGTCACAATTAATCTTAGATCATTAAAGGTGAAATTGAGTAGCTAGATTTATTTCATTGAACAAACACAAAGCTCAAAAGAAATTTTTTCAAACTTCGTGATACACTCCAGCTATCAGATTTCACATCGAATAATTGTATGTAATTGTGACATCTCTATACCAAAAATAAATGGTCTCATTGTATACAATCCCATATGTAAAAGTCAAAAAAATTGAATTTTGAGGTTTTAATAATTAGATTTAAAATTAGATGATTTCCGTTCAATCATAAGGAATTAGTTTTTCACGCAACAAGAATGCAATTTGGAAGTTTTCTTATTGAGTATAAAATATGAAATAGTTTATGTTTATACATGGCCAAGGCTTTAAACAATCAATTTAAAAAATTTACTAATCCCAAATTGATCATCTCCACCTCAAGATGTAGAGACATGAGAAAAACATGGATTTCAAATATTAGAAATAGTGCATATTGTAATGCATTTTTATACCGTTAATTTTTAAAGTTTTCAAGCGTTCATAGATTTGTTTGATCAACACTATTTTTGAAGTTTTAAAAATTGAGAAAATATCTCGATAACCCCCTTATTTTTAGGTTTCATTTCACAATAGATCCAAGGTTTAAATATGTTTTTTTAGGTAAAACAAATCTAAAAAGTTATGCCTTTTCTAGAAACCATCCTGCTGAAGTTCTCTATTTCTCTCTTCCCACACCCCTTCTCTTTCTCTGTCTTTTCCATCTCTAACCCCTCACTCTCTCTCCTCTCCTCTCTCTCATCCCATCTCTCTCCTCCCAAATATACAATATGTATACGTAGAGAAAGAGATGTGTTTGGATAAACATAGGTAGAAGAGATGTATTTGGTGGTGAGAGGTTACCAGGAGGAGAGATAGAGGTGTTTGGATAAGATGTATTTGGTGGTGAGATGTTATCGAGAGGAGAGAGAGGTATTTGGATAAATAGGAAAAGAGGGAGGGAAGTGTTTGGATAAACATGGGAGGAGAGATGTTATTGAGAGGAGAGAGAGATGTGTATGGATAAACGGGAGAAGAGAGAGATACTTGGTGGTGAGAGATTACCGGAGGAAGTGAGAGAGGTGTTTAGATAAACACAAGAGGAGAGAGATGTTGGGTGGTAAAAAGTTATCGGGAGGAAAGAGAGAGGTGTTTGGATAAACATAAGAAGGGAGAGAGATACTTGGTGGTGAGAAATGAGAGAGATATTTGGTGGTGGTAATAAGGGAGAGAGATACTTGGTAGTGAGATCTTACCGGGAGGAGAGAGAAAGGTGTTTGGATAAACAAGGGAAGAGAAAGAGGTGCTTGGATAAACAATGGAAGAGAAAGAGATGTTTATCAGGAGAGAGAGAGTGAAGCATGCAACAAGCGAGAAAGAGAGAAGTTTGGGGTATATAAATGAAGAGAGAAAGGATTGGGTTTAGAAAAAACATCCTTTTCACATTTGTTTAAGTTTAAGAATAGGTTTAAAGTGGGCAGGTGGTTGGAAGATATTTTTTGAAACCTTAGTTAGTTTAGATGTCAAGTATTAAGAAATATTATCATCTTTTTTTTTATTAGTGTGCATCCTACCCTTCCAAAATTGTCTTGCCAATCAAAAACGTTTCTTGTATCCTTGGCATCAGTAAAAAAATTTGCTTATACAAGATGTAGAACCTGCCACTCGAGCTTGTCGCTTACAAAATTGAGCTCTAAAACGGGGCATAGTGATCCCTAGTTTTGACTACGGGCCAAGTGCTCCCACTTGAAATACTCATTAGGATCTTGAAGGGTGCACTCTTGCAAACATCGGAGGGGATCGTTGCGTTGCTCGCCAGTGACAGTGGACCATTTCAATGGAAATGCAGTTTTATATTGAAGCAATTTTGGGGCTCTTGAGGGTTTTACGAAGGTACAGGGCTCTGAGGTGAGAAGGCAAGGTAGATGGTGAATCTTTTTACTGAATACCATTCCAATAATTTATTGAATCCAGTGATTAGAGAGAATAATTATGGGGGCTTTGGATTATAGGAAAGTAGTGGCAATTTTAAAGAAGATGAGAGATTCAAGGGTGGAGAGATTGTTTGGGAGCTTTGGGGTGAGGGCGGCCAAGCAAAGCCTTTGAAGAAGATGAACGATTCAAAGGCAGAGAGATTGTTTGGGAACTTTGGGGTGAGGGCGGCCAAGCGGAGCCCTAAGAAGAAGTCTTTGGATGCGCTGATTAGGAGGCTTCAAGACGCATCCTAGGGCTTGCCATGGATGCCACTTGAGCAGGGGTTGCCATGGATGGTGCTTAAGCCTGTCTGGGTTTTTAGGAGAGCGAAAATGAAAATGCTCTGTATATTTGAGAAGAGAATATGTTTGACCATTTGTTTGATCCAAATTTTAAAATATGCACTCTTTTCATTCTAATGAACAATCACCAAAAAAGTAAAATTTGAAAACACAACTCTAATTAACAATCGCAAAAAAAAAAGAAAAATTTGAAAACCTAACCTCGAAAATAATTTTTTTAGTCAATTAACATAGACTTTCCGTTTTAATAAGATGTTTAGATCTAGGCCTTAGAAGTATTTGTTTTCCTTTCCAAATTTTTTTGATAGCTTTATTATCATTAGTTGAACAATGTTAAAGATGAAAAAATGATTTTGAGTTTGTAAAGGCTAAGATATTAAAAAATTTCAAATAAATGGTCTAGATTCGTTGTTGGATGGGGTCTTATTTTGACCATATCTAGGGTTCAAATCGAACTTTTTCTTTTTTGAGATTGATTATTGAGATGAATAGAGGGTGTTTACAAAATTTTGGGTCATAAAAATACCTCAAACATGGTTTTCTAGAAGTGTGGTTGTATTAAACTATGATACAATCATTGCATTAGATTATTCCCCATTAGATTTTCTATTATACATTCTCAAATAAGGAAGATGCTAAGGAACGTTGATTCGCGTACTGCTACAGCAAACGCCGAATGGCCCAGATTGAATTTGGGCGAATCTGACGATCATGGATGTCTGGTAGTATTTAAATTTTGATTTTATTTTACAAATCAAAATTATTTAAAATTTTAGATATGTGTTCTTCAAAAATAGACGAATCTATAAAAAATATCAAAAAAATATTTTACATGAAAAATATTGACCAAAATACTCCCGAAAAGTTTCAGGAGCATTTTGGTCAATTGTTTTTTTGTAAATTATTTTTTAATATTTTTATTAGGTGTGCCTTGATGAAAATACCACATACTTAAAATTTCGAGTGATTTGAATTTATATAAAAAAATTAAAATTAAAATACGATTGGACAACCGTGACCGTCAGATCGACCCAGATTCGATCTAGACCGTTGAACATTTACTGCAGTGGTACACACATACGCGTAGAAGAACCTTTTCCCTCCAATAAATAACCAATAAAGGTATTTATTATTGGAGGAGTTAGATTTTGAATTACATTAAGAAGCAAGTTGCTCACACTTTGTAGGGCCGTCCTCAACACAGTCTACCTTAATCTTTATTATAGGAGGAGATAGATTTTGAATTACCTTAAACTTTATTAAAGGTCCATACGTACATGTGGTTTTAGAAGAAAAAAAAAAAAATGGTGTAAAAATTAGCTCCCAAATTTCATCATTTCATGTAAGTCTCCATAACTAAAAGATGGCAAAAAACGAGGTGGCCCACTGTAATCCCTTTGAAGCCGGTGGCTTTGGATAAGTGGTGAAGGCAATTGCCCCCCAATGTACGAGGCGAGCGCGGGCATTCCGGCATGCCCTATTGGCAATTGCCCCATGATGGCCGAAGTGGGTGCGGGCATGGGCATGGGCATGGGCATCCGTTCAACATTCT